TACTTAGTGAATCGCTCTGTACGAGTCAAGATTGGCGCGACGGAATCAAATGTTTTCTCAAACAACTCGGGAGTCCCGCAAGGCAGCAACCTGCGACCTCTGCTGTTTTCGATCTTTTTAAACGACATCGCTGTTGTTACCATCTGGATGTCGTCTTTTCTACGCAGATGACGCCAAAATCTACAAAATTATCAAAAGCCTCTCGGACTGTTGGGATCTCCAGCATATGCTATGTATTTTCGCTGACTGGTGCACGAGAAATTTGATGGGCCTGAGCATCGAAAAATGCAACGTCATCTCCTATCACCGTAAAAATGAACCAATTATGTTTGACTATGTGCTCTTTGGACGTTGCATTGCCCGTGTAAAAGAAATAAAGGATCTCGGTGTTACTCTGGACTGCGGGCTCACCTTCAAAATCCATTATAACGACATCATTTCCCGAGCCAACCGCCAACTGGGTTTTATTTTCAAAATTGCCGATGAGTTCCGGGACCCGTTATGCCTCAGATCACTTTACTGCTCACTTGTGCGGTCTATATTAGAATCAAGTGTAGTTGTATGGTGCCCTTTCCAAGCCACTTGGATCGCTAGAATCGAATCTGTTCAACGAAAGTTTGTGAGATATGCTCTTCGTTTCTTGAACTGGCGTGACTCATCGAACCTGCCACCGTACGAGGAGAGTTGCCGTCTTCTGGGCATCGAACCGCTAGTGGTGCGACGGACGGTCTCTCAAGCTATGTTTGCTGGAAAGCTTCTCACGGGTGACATCAACTGTCCAACGTTTCTGGCCCAGCTAAATATGTATGCTCCTGAGAGACCTCTTCGTCAACGCGAATTTCTGTTTTTGGAGTCACGAGGCAGAAATTATACGCAGAATGAGCCAATTCGTGCAATCAGCCGACAATTTAACTACTTTTATTGCGAATTTGACTTTAACGTATCAGAAAATGTGTTTCGTCACCGGTTACTTGACCGTTTTCGTTTCGTTGACCATAACTATTTAGATTAAGTTTTTTTTATTCATTAAGACATTAATTGTCAGTTGAATTATTAAATAAACAAATAAACAAATAAACCATTCAGGCAAGGAGCGCTGCACCATCGAGGCGACGCCGCTACCAGCAGCCAGTGATCTCGACGAGAACGAGGCGTAAAGTTCGAGGTGCAAAACTCGAACGCTGTGCGCTTGATAAGAACCGCCTTCCTACTGCTGCTACTGCTACCTGCTTACCCGCCGTCCGAAGCGAAAATGAGTTGAGCCACATTAGCAGCGCTGTTTTATAACTTTTCAGATTCATCATGGGATTTCATCTGGTACTGAGCCTTTAGTGGCGTCCAAATCTTTTAGACCAGTCAAAATATCTTGAACATGTTCATTGCAAGACAGCCTATATTACGTGATATAGGCTGTAATGTGAACGGGGTATTAGGTTCTTTTAGAAATTTTTAGAACTCTATGAGGTCTTTTGAAATTCTTCTTAGAAGTCCTCTGGAATTATTTTGAGAATACTTCTTGACTTTTACTCAGAACACCTTGGAACTTAAATTCCCTTAGAGTTTCAGAAGAATTTCCTCAGTATTATCTAGAAATTATTCCCGAAATGAGCTAGAAATTATTGGTACTCCCTTGAAATTTTCCTCAAAATCCTTTTGGAATTTCATTCAAAATTTAATTTTCTCGGTATTCTTTTCGGAATTATCTTGGAACTATCTGCAGGATTCACTAGAAATTATTCGCAGACATTTCTTGGAATACTCCCCAGAAATCTTTTGGAACAGTCCTCAGAATTCAATATCCTTGAGGATCTTCTGGGATTTTTTAGAACTCTCCGAAGAGCTCTTTTAAAATTCTTCTTAGAAGTCCACTGGAATTATATTTACAATTCATCATGATTTTTTTTTTCTCAGAACACCTTGGAACTGAAATTCTTTTAGAGTTTCAGAAATTATTCCCGGAATGAGCTAGAAATTATCCTCGGAATTCGCTTGAAATTTTGCTAATTTTGGAAGTTCACTTAAAATTTGATTTTCTCGGTATTATTTTCGAAATTAGCTTGGAACTATCTGCAGGATGCACTAGAAATTATCCGCAGAATTTTATTTGGAATCTCTCCAGAAATATTTTGGAACTGTCCTAAGAATTCAATATCCTTGAGGTTCTTCTCGGAATATTCTAGAACTTTTTTTTTCTCACATCACCTTGGAAATGAAATTCCCCTAATGTTTCAGAAGAATTTCCTCTGTATTCTCCTGAAATTCTTCCCAAAATGAACTTGAAATTATCTCCGGAATTTCCTTGAAATTTTCCTCAATATCCCTTTGGAATTTCATTCAAAATTTGATTCTCTCGATAATATTTTCGAAATTATCTTGCAACTATCTGCAGAATTCACTAGAAATTATTCGCTGAATTTTCATGGAATCATCCACAGAAATCTTTTCTTTTGGAACTTCTCTTCAGAATTCAATACCCTTGAGGTTCTTCTCGGAAGTCAAGTTTAAGTTGTCCGTCCATTCACCAAAACATTAAAGTTTTTCAATAAAGCTTGCCCCTCGATTCACCAGAACTGTGCAATTTTTACATCAGGAATTTTCAATTCAGCTAGCCCCTTCATGCAGCAGATTGAATCTTACACCAGAAATTTTCAATACAAACCCAATACAAGCCCCCAGAAAATTTAACGCCAGGAAATTTCAATTGACCAGAACGATGCAAATAATTCACCGTTAATGTTCAAAAAAATGTTTCTACAATCTTCTGATTGGTGCAGATTTCCTTTTTCCATTTTCCACCAGACATTTTCAATATAGCTTGCTTATCCTATCATCGGAATGTTGCAGGTTTTCCACCAAACAAAACTTGCAGCTTCCCTCCAATCATAAGAATGGAGCAAATTTTACACCAGAAATTATAATTAAAGTTTGTTCCTCTATTGAGCAAAAGGATGCAAATTTGAGACCAAACATTTTCCGAAAAGCTTACCCATCCGTTCACCAGAACGGTGCAGATTTTCCTCCAGAAGTTTTCAATATAGCTTAATTTAAATAAAGCTTGTGCCTTCATTTACCAGACCAGTGCAAGTTTTCCACCAGAAATTTTCTGTTAATTTCATTTTTCAGAGCGATACAAATATTGCACCAGAAATTTTCAATAAAGCACTCTCCTCCATTCACCAGAATGGTGCACCAACAATTGTCAGTGAAGTTTGTTTTACCATGCACTTTTGTGGTGCAATTCTCAGGCACCAGAATGCACTATGGGCAAAAATGGGTCCAAAATTACCCAAAATTCAATATCTCAACAGCCCGCTGAATTCCGGTCATGAAAAACAACTTTTCCGAAGGAAAATCATCCGGGGAATCGATTGCACGTGGTCCCATAGACCGGAGAGCCTTGTAGGTATGTGTTTTGGACCATTTTACCCCATTTTCCCCTACTTTTTGGAGGAAATGTTTTTTCCCAGCTCTATTTTTCGTAAAACATAAGCACTTTATGCATGGTTTTAGAATACTATGTCTTTAAACAACAGTTCATAAGATATTAGGGGAATACGGGGTACACTTTAAAGGGGAGTAAGGGGTAAAAGTGAACCCTCGCTAAATTTATTTTAATTCATAAAAATGTTGAACGATGCGATTGTTTGAATGACCCCAAAGGTTGCCTGCAATAATAAGATTTTGTTTTTCGAAATTTTAAGGTTAATTGGGGTTAAATAAGTTTTAATTTACTGTTATCTGTTTTAAAAGAGTTTTCACTTTTTTTTTGTCTGTATACAGCAAAAGGATATAGTGGTTCTCAGAATTGTGTTTAAATTGGTAGTTTTGTTCCTTATCGCAATATATTAGACCCGTATTTTTTTATTTTGTCATTAGGGTGACTATTTATATATATTAGGGCGGTAAAAAAAAAAAAAAATTTTATCGATTTTTTTCAAAAATTTATAACTTTTGAACTGTTTGGCCGATGACGGAACTCAAAATACCAAATAAAAGTTAGTTAAAAGTGTTTTTCAGAAAAAATATTATGATATTAAAAAAATGGATTTTGTATTAAAAAACATTGATTGTATTTATTTTTAATGATTTCCATGGTTTGTAGATAGAGGGTACATTATGATTTTATATATTGTTCCATAAAAAATTAGACATTTTAACTTAACATATAAAAAAATCATGTTTTTCAAAAATGTGTTTTTTGTTTGTTTTTGAGTTATATTTTTTTGAAGTTATCAGGTTTTGGGTTTTGAAATTTGATTCAAGTCTCTATGAATGTCATGGTAGTCTAGGATCAGAAATTGTATGGATAATTTGACCATGTTACAGTCGCTATAAATCAATGGAGACGCATGAAGTATTGAGCGAAAACCCAAAACTTGATAACTTCAAAAAAATATAACTCAAAAACGAAAAAAAGCACAATGCTGATTTTTTATATGTTGTGTAGAAAGGTCTTAATTTTTAAGGAAAAATGTAAAATCATAATGCGCCCTCTATCTGTGTACATATCACATATCTGCCTCACTGTTCCCCACAGGCAACAAATAGTAAAATAATGGTATTAAACAAACAATTTCATGTTCATCACTTATGATTATAAAACCGCATTACTACGCGATAGTAATAGTCAATTGAATTTAGATTGAATATGCGTTTTGTTGTTAAATTGGCTTGAAATCGATTGCAACAAAACTAAGTCTGACCCCGCCTAAAACGATTTTTGTAAATTTATATATTAAAAAGTGAATATACCTATTGTTCTCAAATTATTTCAAGTGATGTAGCTTGCCAAACTTCACTTTCTAGGAAAATATCATGAATTTTGAACACTTTTATGATCAAGATATTCTCATTGACTCACTGTACCTGCTCACTGTTGACTACTGTCCCCTATAACTTATGAAATGCTACAAAGTTCTCGGTATTATAAATTAAAATACAGATTTAGGCCCTTGTGGGCCTCTGATCAAAAAGTATATTCAAAAAAATATTAGAATATGCTACTCCTCATCGTCGCTGTCAGTTGAAACATTATCTTCATAATCGGACGACATGTCATCATCTGACGCTGAAATCACCGGAATTTCTTCGTAATCTCCATCATATTCATTGGATGCATAAAACGAGGCCAGTTTTTGGTTAAAATCTTCATCATCTACACGTAACTTCCTGGTGTTCTTTGCATCTAGGTGTGCAAATTTCACGTCGGACCATGCCAGAGCGGTTTTCATCATGTCATTGATACTGTCTTCTGGAGACGTCTTTCTGGCCAAATGCGGCCGAGTGAATTTATACCGTTTATGGCATCTCTCACCAGCTTGTTCATCCACGAAATTCATTGTATATGGCTGTAATCAAGAAGAATGGATGAATATTTTGATAATATTTTTTAACAGATCACTTACTAGTCGCTTCACCATTTCACTCAGGTGTTTATATTTATGGATGCACGGTGGTATTTGTCTAGCATCCGGAAACTCTCTGTCCAACTGCTTCATGATAGTTTTGAATAGTTCCGCAACCTTAGATAACATTTAAAATTGAAACATAAATTATAAACCTGTTTTAATCATCTTTAAATTAGATTACAAACCTTCTTCGAATCCAGGTGGTTTGAAGAAAGAGCCAAGCTGCTGATGAGCCGCAAGTTTTCTACAAGGTCTTTTCTAACTCCAAGAATTCTGGAAAAGTTTCCTGGGTCGGCCAACAACCTCCGCGCCATATTTCCATTGTTGCTACTTCCGCTACCGCCAATCTTAGGTCGATTTACATGAAGTTTGAAGAAATGCTCTAGTTCATCCGCTATTTTTCGACAAGCGGCTTTGACATCGGGATGGGATAAAGCAGGGTGCCCCTCAACTTTATTTTTACCAGCATATCTGATCAACCACTCCACCATATTTAGTCTTGAATGAAAAAAGGACGGTCCAACACGTGGATCTGCATCTTCAACACACAAAGGGCATGCATGTGTGTTACGATTATTAACGATAGCATTCGCCACTTTACCATCGATTAGCGTATACATCCCAGAAACCATAATTTTCATTGTGATGCCGCTGATCTGTACATCAAGAGGGTTCTCGTTCATTTCATCAATTTCCCTGAAAAACTGATCAAACATATGTTTCGATAGCTTGTCAGTCTCCTTTGTCCAGTTTAACGAACGAGGGCGACAGAAAGTGTCCGATTGTGGGTTGGGGTTGCGCCAAATTTCATCTCCATTCTCCGCAACGAGAAGCAACGACATGTAATGCTCTGATAGTAGCGAATCATCCTGACCAAGGATTCCATCCTGATTATAATGAGAAAAACCAGTAGCTGAATCTGGTCCCCCGGTAACATGCAACTTGCATGCTAGAACTTCCCCCGATTTGGCAAGTGTTTTAACTTTTGACTCCACTTCCTTCAGTTCGACTAACCGTGTTATATCGTTCTGTACCAAATCTCTAACGGTTACGCTTGTGGACAAATACCCCTTTTCCCTGTCTGCAGGAGAGAATGGAGGTATAATTGCGTCTCTATAACGCATCACACCCACCCAAGGTTCCAAGAGTTTAACACCAAAATGACGTTTAGCATATTTTGAAACTCCTTGGTATTTCCGTTTACTGAGGTTAAATCTTGTCTTCAACATGAGAGACGTTTCTTGAGACGGCATGTCCGTTACCTGGATGATCGTGGTGGAACTCAGAGCCTCAGATGCCCATTTCTCTTGTCCCAGTCGCAGCTTACGCAAAAGTTTTGCTACGGAGCATAAAGAACTGTTACGTGCGGATTTTTCTGCTGCCCTAAGTAACTTTTCCAGCGGTTCTTTTCGAGCAAGCAACCGAGATTGGTTTTCTTTGGTACGCTCTGCAAGGTTTCCAAACTTTCGGGGCTTACAACCACGGAGTTGTGGAGGAGACAATTCATGTTTATTTTTTTTAGGCAAAGAAAAAATCAACTGACATGTTGAGATTGATCGTTTGGTTGTGTTCGATGTTGGAGTTGATGTTGTTGTACGTTGTAAACGTATTGATTTTCGTTGGTTGGACTTTTGAACAGAAGGTGTTCGGGATTGGGTTGGGGTAGATGTTTGAGATGAATGGGGTTCAGTTGATGTTAGCTGAGAATATGTGTGAATAGTCAGGATGTTAAAGGGATTTTAAGGATTTTTGTATTTTATTCTATTTCCATAGTAATCAAACGTTTCTTTGGTGGAAGAGATTTCCGAACTTTATAATCATGATTCTTCTGTTTTATCTTACCTTGAAAGAGGAATCTAGCCAATTCGAATACATTTCGAAAAATCGGTTCTGGCAGCCAGCTTCAAACCATCGACGATTGAACTGCGAGATCCATGATTTCACAACACTCGTTAATTCTTCTTCACTCAAATCAATTACAGTTTTGAAAAATTGAGCCAGTTCTTTACTGCTCCGGTTTAACTTTAAAAAATGTATACTAACGTCTCTATTGCTAAACATTTCTAACAATATAAGAATGCATGTAGGGTTTAGTACCAATTTCCAGCCTACTATGCACAATACACAATTTAGTTCTCTTTATCGCATCTAGCGGTACGTAAGGAAAATTGTTTCAACTTACAGCTAAATATTCTCCATTCTTCTTGATTATAGCCATATACAATGAATTTCGTGGATGAACAAGCTGGTGAGAGATGCCATAAACGGTATAAATTAACTCGGCCGCATTTGGCCAGAAAGACGTCTCCAGAAGACAGTATCAATGACATGATGAAAACCGCTCTGGCATGGTCCGACGTGAAAATTTGCACACCTAGATGCAAAGAACACCAGGAAGTTACGTGTAGATGATGAAGATTTTAACCAAAAACTGGCCTCGTTTTATGCATCCGATGAATATGATGGAGATTACGAAGAAATTCCGGTGATTTCAGCGTCAGATGATGACATGTCGTCCGATTATGAAGATAATGTTTCAACTGACAGCGACGATGAGGAGTAGCATATTCTAATATTTTTTTGAATATACTTTTGATCAGAGGCCCACAAGGGCCTAAATCTGTATTTTAATTTATAATACCGAGAACTTTGTAGCATTTCATAAGTTATAGGGGACAGTAGTCAACAGTGAGCAGGTACAGTGAGTCAATGAGAATATCATAAAAGTGTTCAAAATTCATGATATTTTCCTAGAAAGTGAAGTTTGGCAAGCTACATCACTTGAAATAATTTGAGAACAATAGGTATATTCACTTTTTAATATATAAATTTACAAAAATCGTTTTAGGCGGGGTCAGACTTAGTTTTGTTGCAATCGATTTCAAGCCAATTTAACAACAAAACGCATATTCAATCTAAATTTAATTGACTATTACTATCGCTTAGTAATGCGGTTTTATAATCATAAGTGATGAACATGAAATTGTTTGTTTAATACCATTATTTTACTATTTGTTGCCTGTGGGGAACAGTGAGGCAGATATGTGATATGTACACAGATAGAGGGCGCATTATGATTTTACATTTTTCCTTAAAAATTAAGACCTTTCTACACAACATATAAAAAATCAGCATTGTGCTTTTTTTCGTTTTTGAGTTATATTTTTTTGAAGTTATCAAGTTTTGGGTTTTCGCTCAATACTTCATGCGTCTCCATTGATTTATAGCGACTGTAACATGGTCAAATTATCCATACAATTTCTGATCCTAGACTACCATGACATTCATAGAGACTTGAATCAAATTTCAAAACCCAAAACATGATAACTTCAAAAAAATATAACTCAAAAACAAACAAAAAACACATTTTTGAAAAACATGATTTTTTTATATGTTAAGTTAAAATGTCTAATTTTTTATGGAACAATACATATATAAAATCATAATGTCCCCTCTATCTACAAACCATGGAAATCATTAAAAATAAATACAATCAATGTTTTTTAATACAAAATCCATTTTTTTAATATCATAATATTTTTTTCTGAAAAACACTTTTAACTAACTTTTATTTGGTATTTTGAGTTCCGTCATCGGCCAAACAGTTCAAAAGTTATAAATTTTTGAAAAAAATCGAAAAAAAAATTTTTTTTTTTTTTTTACCGCCCTAATATATAAATAGTCACCCTAATGACAAAATAAAAAAATACGGGTCTAATATATTGCGATAAGGAACAAAACTACCAATTTAAACACAATTCTGAGAACCACTATATCCTTTTGCTGTATACAGACAAAAAAAAAGTGAAAACTCTTTTAAAACAGATAACAGTAAATTAAAACTTATTTAACCCCAATTAACCTTAAAATTTCGAAAAAAAAATCTTATTATTGCAGGCAACCTTTGGGGTCATTCAAACAATCGCATCGTTCAACATTTTTATGAATGAAAATAAATTTAGCGAGGGTTCACTTTTACCCCTTACTCCCCTTTAAAGTGTACCCCGTATTCCCCTAATATCTTATGAACTGTTGTTTAAAGACATAGTATTCTAAAACCATGCATAAAGTGCTTATGTTTTACGAAAAATAGAGCTGGGAAAAAACATTTCCTCCAAAAAGTAGGGGAAAATGGGGTAAAATGGTCCAAAACACATACCTACAAGGCTCTCCGGTCTATGGGACCACGTGCAATCGATTCCCCGGATGATTTCCCTTCGGAAAAGTTGTTTTTCATGACCGGAATTCAGCGGGCTGTTGAGATATTGAATTTTGGGTAATTTTGGACCCATTTTTGCCCATAGTGGAATGGTGCAAATTTTCCACCATAAATTTTCAATGAAGCTTGCATTCATCAGAACGATGCAAATTATGCTCCAGAAAAATTAATAAACCTCGCTTCTACATTCACCGCACTATTGCGAACGTTCCACAAGAAATATTAAGTTAAATGTGCGCCTCCAAATTTTTAGCGTGATTCAATTTTTCCACTAGGGTTATTCATTTTGATTAGTCCCTCCATGATTGATGATATTTTTACACCAGATATTCAATAAAAAGCTTTCTCTTCGATTTACCACCACGAAGGTGAATTTTTTCAACTTTAAATTAACCCTCTTCTTTTATCCCTCCATGAACCACCTTAAAAAAAAATTACAACAGAATGTTTTTGTATGCACCACTTTGGTTCAATTTTTTGACCAACAAATTTCATTGAAATTTCATGCACCTTTGTGGTGCAATTTTCAGACACCATCTCAAAGGAATTGACGCAATAAAAGGTTTATAGTGCCCTTATAGTATGAAATGAAGTTATTTTACCTTCAAATCAAGTTATCAAGAAAACAAGTTATTTTATATCGTAATTTGGAAATGTGAAGCCCCACCTTGCCCCACCCTGTGCACGCCAGTGAAGAGGAATGTTCCGAGCGGCCAGGGCCGCACTTAACCGAGAGATAAAGCAGAGTAAGTCAAACTGTATCAAGGAGCTGTGTCGAGGCGGCTCCTGCCTAGTGTATCTACATCAATACTGAGATATGGATGTCCAGCCTGGGTTGCATCGCGGGAAACCAAGCAGAATTTAGGGAAACGAAACAGTACATACCACCTGAACAAACCGTACGCAAACAGTTTTGCCCTTTTGAGACGTGGATGGATAAATAACTCTGGTCTCCCCTACGGAGTGTCTTCGCAGCTCAAAAGCCTGAACTCCATCGTCCGCCAGGTTGTGACCACCGGAAGCTCCGTCCCGTCGACCCTGATCAACCAACTGAACTCCGCTACGGGCCACCTCGCCTCACCTGCTGCATCGCAAGTGATATATCTCGTCAGCTCAACTCCAGGGATGCAGGGTGGTTAATCGTGGAATGGATATAGATGAGAAAATAAACCTATGATTTTGCGTTTCAAAGCATAACCATCAAATGATCTACTAATACTGATTTAAACCTTTGCTTCCATACTAATTTCCTTCTTTGAGAAGACAACCATAAATTTAACATCAGTGTGACCCACAAAAGTTCCATTCTCATCACGGGTAATGCAGCCATTACTGCAAGCCGATAATTCCACCCGTTAATGTGCTCTCTCATACACACGAGACACGAGTAAAAAAGTTTAGTTAGACCAGCTGCACAATTTGACCTCGCCGAAATGGTTTTACGACCTGACCAGCCCACACAAGGCAATATAGGACCGTTGGAAGCGAAAATGAGAATTTACTCGCCTTTATTGCTCCGCAACTACACTCATCAAAGGTACAAAAGCAACGGCAAGTGTGTGTCGAGGTGTGCAATAAAAGTAATAAACGTGAGGGGGGGGGGGGGGGGCGAAACTTTGTGGCTGAGTTACCACACTCAAAAAAAATGTGCTCCTTTATTGCATTTTGTGATGATGATTCTGAAGAAGAAGCAACTCAAATTCCAATAATCCTTGAAACTTTACTGGGACTGGGACGACGACGACGACGACGACGACGACGTCGATGATGATGATGACGGTGGAAAAGGCATCCTGCTGGTTGCTGCGGCTATATCCCTACATCCACAGCTTGACTGCAACATTCCACAATGAATAGCTCCGAAGCGTTATTTGCTCGGGAAGCGGCTCTGTAGTACTACTACTATCGGCTACTAGTCATAGTAGTAGTACTACTACAACGACCACCCACTGTCCAACCCACTTGAAGCACGCACACACACTTGCAGGCAGAGGGAATACCAGTTCGAGTGGGAGTGCATATAAATTGGAATTGCACAGTCCTAGGATGTCTATGTGAAGGCCACCGCACCGTTTCTCCGCTTTTCTCACGCTGCACTCGATGTGTGTGTGCATTTCAAATTCAATGTATGTACGAGAAGGAGATAAGTGATGTTGAAAATCGGATCCAAATGAACCGAACAAGCCCCGGAATGCACAGAACTACATTGTATGGCCATCTAGATTTTATCGTCCAACTTGTCGTCAGAAGTTGGATTCGGCCTTCGAACCGACTTGATTTTTTTGATTGCGGGACGAAATGCATACGCCAACTAACTTAGCTGCAACTGCTCTCAATTTGGAATCTTCCCCGTTAGGTATCGATCGTTATCGAACTACATCGGATCGGGAGATGGACAAAAAATGGGAAAGAGGAGCAGGCATTCCAAAAATAGAATGCTGCTGCCGTTCCAATTGTGTCAACATTTTTCACTCTCCTCCCAACGACAACGACAACAACAGGACAGGACAGCTCGGAAGGACATTTGCCGTTTTCCAGAAATAGTGTGACGTCGGCTGGATCGGTGATGTTGGTGTGTGCATTTTTCCAGTGGAAAATCATTTCGATAGAAATTGAGACTAATTAAGAGTGCGGGGAATGTAGTGTTCCAATTTCTGGTGTAATGACCATAAGTATTGCAAACGATATTGAAAAAACAGCTTTCGGCACTATCACGAAATGAAAATGGTCTTCAAAGCATGCCATGTCAGTTGTCAGTTGGCGACCAGGTGCATATTTTTTTTTTCAGCCAAATTTCCAGCATTAATAAATGAATTGAGTAATATATACACACAGATCCGTCAAAGTTAATATACACACTTACAAAAATTCATGTAAATTTAGGTGCCCTGAGAGTGACATTTACGAGCGTCAATTTTGACATAAATTTGAGTCATAACAGACGCGAAATATAGCTTAATCAAACGTACTTTTCGTCGAGCAACGAACTTTTCAGTCTCGGAGCACTTAAGATTACATGACATGTTTGTTTACGCCTCACCTTTTATGTCATAGATGGAATCCATCTATAACGTCACGTGTAAAATTAGTTTTTTTCTAAGTGTGTACATCTACAGGGGTTACTCAAAATAACTAGGATAGACAAATTTTTGGTCAACTTTGGACTGTTGTAACTTCGTCAAATACCTATGATCCAATTTTAAATCTTCGAAGAGCATTTGACTGGAAAACTAATATTGTTCTACGGTGTAGCCATGAAAATAATCCTGGTCACCGGATACCGGAGATATTTTGAGTTTCCGGAGCGCTTGTCTAACTTGCTAAATTTTTGGGGAAATTTTATATATGATGCTTATTAAATATATATATATATTTTAGTAAATACAACGAAAGAAGAACCATTTCTAAAGCGAATCATATGCCAAGAACTAAAATCGGCCTATAATCAACCGAGATATGGCCATTTCCCTGGAATCGGTTCTGGTGGAGGGTTCTGAATGCGGGCAGATCATTTTATCACTCAAAACATGCAGTGCGACAGCTCTTTCTTCATGGTTTCTCGTCAATAGACTTTCGATAAACTTTAAATGCATCATTGACCACATTGGCCACTCTCGGAACATCCAGTATGCCAACGGGGGAACCGGGAGCAGGGGACAATTGCATTTTTACACTAAAACATGCCATGCGACAGCTCATTCTTCATGGTTTTTCAAGAATAGGCTTTCCATAAACGTCAAATGAATCATTGACCACATTGGCCGCTCTTGGAACCACTGGGATGCCCCGAGGGATCCTGTAGCAGGGGTCAATTGCGTTTTTACACCAATACAGCAATACGTGCGACAGCTTTTTCTGCAAGCTTTTTCATGAATAGGCTTTTGATAGACTTTAAATGGATTAGTGACCACATTGGTCGCTCTCGGGACCTCCGGTATGCCCCCGGGGGAACCTGAAGCAGAGGACAATTGAATTTTTACACCAAAACATGCCGTGCGACAGCTCATTCTTCATAGTTTTTCATGAAGCGAATCATTTACCACATTGGCCGCTCTCGGAACCACTGGATACCCCCGGGGGAACCTGTAGCAGGGGAAAATTGCGTTTTTACTCAAAAACATGCCGTGCGACAGCTCTTTCTTCATGGATTTTCATGAATACGCTTTCTATAGAATTGAAGGAGATCATTTACCACATTGACCTTTCCTGGGATGACCACATTGACTGGAACGTCCTGGGGGGAACCTGTAGTGCGGAACACGACGAGGACTTTACACACCTGCCATGGCCAGAACAGTCGCTGGATTTAAATATAATTGAGCCACTTTGGTCGACGTTGTAAGCTCGTATTCGAAGCGTTTTTCCTCCTCCATCGTCGTTGAAAACGCTTGAACATCTTCTGATCCAAGAATGGTACAACATTCCACTAGAAGCCATCCAAAAACTTTATGAATCAATTCCCAGACGAATCCAAGCTGTTATTGGTGCAAATGGTGGTCCAACATCATATTAGACGGTTCCATTATAACTTTTTCCTACAATTTTAAAAGGCAATACTAATTTATATATAATAATTCATTAAAAATACATAGCTTTGCAAATAGCAAATAGCTCTGGAACCCAGATTAAAAGCGCAACTTTTCAAATAAGAATGGTTTATTCGCACTGTCACTATTGTTTATTTGAAATGCAGGAAATGGCACTAACTGATGGTCACTAGCGAGCACAAAAGTGCTGGCGAACATCTCCAGAGCTGACGTTGACAGTCATTTTGTTCATTAAAGAGTTGTTGTTGTGCTCTTTCTACACCTTACATTAATACAAGAGAGTGACTTTTATTGGTCTACAACCAGAGTTCTCCCTAATCCACCTAATCTCCCTATCCACTGCTAGTAGTCAATGGTCCATTTCAAGACTTCAGATAGTTCGAGCTGTCGAACGGCATTGTGAAGTAAAAATACAATTTTCCTCTTACATGTTATCCTGGGGCATCAGCTGGTTCCAGAATTAGCTCCCCAATAGCATAGTTTTGTGTAAAAATGTGATTGCATCCTACTACAGGTTCCCCCCCCAGGGCATTTCAGTGACTCCGGACAGGTCAATGTGATCAATGATTCACTTTAAGTCTATAGAAAGAATATTCATAAAAATCCATGAAAAAAGAGCTGTCGCACGGGACGTTTTTGAGTTAAAACGAAATTGTCACCTGCTACAGGTTCCCCCGGGGTTATCCTGTGATTCCGTGAGCTGCATATTTTCTACAGTGACAACATTATTTTGCCAGGACCTATATTAAGTTGTGTAACACAAATTGATCACAATTGATGATACCCCGTTTGACATTTGGACGTTTGGCCGAATGGATGTTTGACATAAAAATATATGCGAACAATTTTGAATCATTAATAATAATGAATGCTAGGGTAAATGTGCCTAACCTCGGTCTAATATGAGGCCTTTAAATACATTTTATGCCATCTCTAATTTAATGATTGAGCAACAAACGATATTTCACTAACAACATGCAAGTTTATACATTCTTATTATTTGAATATTAATCACGCCGGAAAATTGTAAAACTCATAATTTTAACATGAAAACTATCCAGGTAAGTGGATGTAATGTCGGTCTGCTGTACTCAAATTGGGACTATAAATGGTTGCAACTTCGGCCTATCGAAGATGACCCCCGAACTACAAAGGTTCGGCATGTGAAATCATCCTTCTTTTTCACTCCTTAACATTCATACGTAACCACATTGTTGACGTCACTCAGGCATGGAAAATCATTTGCATTCATTTCATACATTCATTTACATTCATTTGCCTCTAACTCTTTTTATCAACAGCATTCCGCAAAATGATGCAAATTGCTTTTATAGGTTTTGTTATTAGCTACAACTTTTGCTCATAATTAAAACCTATATCTCTTATGCATCACGAATTAGAGCGGGCAGAACTAATACTGTTTTTCAGTGAATGTCTCCTTAACATTCATACGTAACCACATTGTTGACGTCACTTACACTTCTTGCGTAACTTACACTTCTTGCGTAAGAACTGATGGGGATGAAAGAGAGAGGGTGTTTTCTTTCCGGATGATCCAGATAACATAACCATGATGCTTTCAGAATCGAAATGAAAGCCAAATAGATCATCTCACGACCAAATATATAATGAGCTTACCATGCAGTTAAACATGGTTTAACGAATGTCATAAAGAACAAGTCAGGCAATGTGAATTTGTCATCACTTTCATCATGCCACTGTTCTTATGTAACGACGACTACGACGTCAAACTCGTTGTTACATAGAGATCTTCAAGCGCAATCTCACGAACACTAAAATCCAACATCCATATTTAAAAATTTAGAAGAAGAAGAACCAACGCAACTCACGCACACTTTTGTGCATTTGGAGAACTCTATAGGAACAGTCGCGGAATAAAAGGGACGACTCTCCCTCATTGCAGGACCTGTTATATATGACATTGCTGTTTGACGACCGCCTCGACGGCAACTTTTAGCCACAATTGAGATTTTGATTTAATACTTTTTGTTGGTGTAGTATTTTATAATTCTATCAAACTATTAAATATTAAACATCAGAAACACCGAGGATTTCACCAATATACCGTTATTGATACCCGTCGCTCGTTTTTTAAGCCGTTGTGCTTCACACTTACTCAAATCCGTTCTTTTTTTTTTGTTCATTGATTTATTTGATAAGGCTCAACCGAATTAACTTTACAGAGCCGCGGATTCTTGGTCACTATACAATACATCTTAAAACTATAGTCAAAAGGAACAACACAAAAAACACTTTATCTTCCGCTATCCAAAAAGCCTCCTCCATCAGAACTGGAGCCGCTTCCAGTGGTTTCATTATATGGCAGTTACGCCATCGTGGGGCAAAGTGCTTCCATTGCAGCAATGGACGCAAAACGTGGTCAGCACTCACACACTCATCACTAAACAGTTGCTTTCCAAAGTCGACGACGCATCGACCGAAAGAACTGCTGATGAAGAACAATGAAAAGGACCACACAATGGTTGCTGCCGAGAAAACAGACGATCGCGTGGCACACATCGAGAGTGGCCTGCTTTTGTCGACAGCCGAGTGAACACTGACAAATCCGTTCTTAATTTTATCTTTTTATATTTAGAAGGAAAAATTCGTTTTTTTTTTTGGAATGCAGTCTGAACGAAGCCCAAAATGGCGGCGGGGGAATGCTAGAGAAGCTAGCGAAGAATTTGAGCCATCGACTGACGAGCCCAATGTATTCGATGATGTGGAATTTTCCCCGTGTCGTTTATAGATGATTTTTCTCACTTTACGATGATCTTCTTGATGTCGTCGAAGGATCAAGTCTTGGACTGTTTTCGCGATTACGAGGCCCTCGTGACAGTGCGTTTTGGAACAAGGATTTCTAGATTCCGAACTGACAACGGCGGCGAGTATGTCGGTGATGAGATGCGGGCTTTCTGCCGCAAGAAAGGTATTGCGATGGAGACAACAGTGCCGTATACGCCTCAGCAAACGGCGTATCAGAGCACATGAATCGCACATTGATGGAGCGTGCTCGGGCCGTTTTGTTGGAAAGTGGGTACGGCAAGAAGATGTGGGGTGAGGCCGTAAATACTGCAACATATTTGACGAATCGATGTCCGACTTCGGCGGTAGGAGAGAACAAAACTCCGTTCGAATTGTGGACGGGACGCAAACCAGACGTGACCAAGCTCAGGGTATTCGGAAGCGTCGCGTATACCCACATTCGTAAGGAGTTGCGAACGAAGCTCGATCCCAAGAGCAAGAAGCTGTATATGGTGGGGTACACCGAGAACGGATACCGGCTGTGGGATGAAGCGAAGCAGAAAGTGGTTGTTGCTAGGGATGTTGTGTTCGACGAGAGTTCTTTCTTCGGTTGCAGTTCGGCAAAGCAAGCTATGAATGATATTCCCCAGAAGCAGGTTGAAATTGAGCTCCGGCGGCATGTTCGTCAGCGTTCACCGGGAATGGTGGAGCCAGATTCCGACCAGGAGGATACAATTTCGGATGATTCGGAAGCGGAAGGTGCCGCAGGACCTGCAGTATCTGTTGTACGAAGGAGCAATCGGATGAGAAGAGAGCCTCAGTGGTTCGATATTTTTGAGATGTCATGTGGACTTGCGCTGTGTGCCGAAAATTTCGTGGACAATGTACCAAATACTGTGAAGGAGCTCAAGGAACGAAACGACTGGCCGCAGTGGGAAACGGCAATAGCGAGCGAGATTGATTCGTTAGTCAGAAACATGGATCCTTACAGCGTTAACAGAGGGACAGAAAACGATCGATAGCCGGTGGATCTTCAAACTCAAGCATGGTGCAGAGGGGGAAAACCGCTACAAAGCTAGATTGGTAGCCAGAGGGTTCTTCCAAAGAAAAGGCTTCGACTACGAGGACACTTACGCACCGGTAGCCAGAATGACGACTCTGCGTGTGGTACTGGCCGTTGCAAACTTCGAAGGAATGCGTATTCATCAACTCGATGTAAAAACGGCGTTCCTCAATGGAAACATGGACCAGGAAATCTTTATGCGTTTGCCAGAGGAGTTCACAACCAACGGACTTGTTGCAAAGCTGCAGCGTTCCTTGTATGGGTTGAAACAGGCTTCACGGGCCTGGAATTCAAGATTTCACGAGTTCATGTTGGGACTTGGATTTGAACGAAGCGAGGCCGACAGCTGCCTTTACACTGCGGTTCGGAACGGAGAGTTGGTTTTGCTGATCATATACGTCGATGATATACTGATCGCATGCCGTTCGCTGCAGGTGATAGGTACTCTGAAGGATAGTTTGAAGCGGGAGTTTGAGATGACAGATCTCAACGAGATGAAGACTTTTCTCGGGCTTTCGATTGAGTATGACCAGGCAGCAGGTTTTCTGTGCATCAATCAAAAGCAGTACTTGGAGGGTCTGCTGAGCCGCTTCAACATGGGAGACTGCAAACCAGTACATACGCCAATCGCAACAGGACTCAAGCTGGAGAATTGTACGGACATAACCAGAGAAACAGATAAGCCGTACCGTCAACTGATTGGTTGCCTGATGTATGTTACTACGACGTCACGGCCAGACATATGCGCTGCTGTAAATTATTTCAGTGGCTTCCAAAGCTGTACTACGGAGGAACACTGGAGCCACCTCAAACGTATCCTGTGCTACATCAGGGGTACAGTGGATTTGAGATTGGAGTTTCGTCGAACCAAAGAATGTAGTCTGCTGGAAGGATACGTCGACGCTGACTGGGCAGGCGATGTGTGTGATCGAAGGTCTACGTCTGGATTCGTATTTCGTGTACTTGGAGGCTTGGTATCCTGGGCAACACGCAAACA